GCAAGTCAAGAATGAACTTTCAAAGATAAAGAATTGTACAATGTTGCCCAAATCTATATTGAATGCTTGTTTTGAATCCAAAAGAAGTGCAGAAGGTTTTGTGGTGCTATACTGGAACACTGTGTTAAAGCTATGGCTCTAGATATTTTTCTTGTGTTCACAGTAGTAACTGTCTAATTTGAAACCTCATATTAATGTGCTTTGTGCTGTTTACCTCTGACCCTTCTCTAAGGCAAACCCATAATGAAAAATAGAAATCTACAACTGTCAATTATGATAAAATATTTAATGAGCAACATGTTACGCAGGATTTCAGCATTACAATTTAATTAGCTATTAGTTTTTCCCTGTCGATCACATCATGTTTAGTATTCAGCATTAGTTTGTTCAACAGAGAGTTTAAAACTACACATCAAAAATTATTTGCTCTTGAATTTTTTAGTGACTTCACAGTTTCTCTCTGCATAAATGTCTGACATCATTTTAAGCATCATATTTAATTTAAATAAATCAATAAAATCCTATCACCTATATCAACATATAACCTATATCAACAGCTCTAAAACAATTCAGAGGGTCAATCACTACATTCAGTTCACATTATTTTGTCCATTTCTTTTATTCAAAAATCCCCTTCAGCATTTTGTTCACCTGTTAGTGAACAAAATAGTTAATCTGTCAATCTGTCAAGTTAGTCTGTCAGTCATTCTAGACAATGAACACAAAACATCTGGGCCTGTAATTATGAAAAAACATGTAAAGATGTACTTAAATCCTGCATCATGGGTCAAAAACCCCTTTTAAATTCAAATAGTTTAATTTAATATAAATTAAATCTATAATCAATTTATTTATTTTTAATTAACAAGCAATTAAGTGTCCGACAATTCACAATTATGTATATTTGGTTAAACTTTATTTTAAGCTCTTGTTAATTAACTATATGAATTTATACTTACACAAGAAAGTACTGGTAATATAAGGTAATTACATGGGTTAAGGTAAGGTTTAGGGGTAGTTATTATCCCATTTATAACCCAGTTCTTGTAATTGCTATAATAAGTACATATGTACATGCAGAACAGGACTATCAAATACAGTTTGAGGATAGGATTAGGTTTGGTTTGGGGTTAGTTGCAAGTAATTATGCATAATTAATAGTAATTACTATAGAAACTACATGTAATGTCTAACAAAGACACTGTCAAATAAAGTGTGACCGCATATTTTTTAAAGTATATATTAGGTTACACTTTATTTTAAGGTGACATAGTTACATTGTACTTACTTACTTAAGTACTGAGTAATATTAATTAACTACATGTACTTACTATAAAGCTACAGTACTTGTAATTATGCTTAATTTACTGTTATTACTAGTTTACATTTTGTAACGTAACTACGACACCTTAAAATAAAGTGTTACCATATATTGATCAATATATTATATCCATGCTCTTTTTAAATACTGAAAATATTAAACATGCAAACTTTTTTAGTGCTTATTTTCTGATTTTTATGTTGATGTCATTTGGGAGACTTGATCTTATCATCTTAAACAATGGGAGTCTTTTGTTTGCACTTGCGTTATTGACTACTTTACATGAGTGCTGTCCATGGTGCTGAATAATATGAGTTTTGCATGACCAAACTTTTAGGGGTAGTTCACCCAGAAATTAAAATTCTGTCTCACACTCACACTCATCTTCACTTTATTTCTTCCGTTGAACACAAAAAGAGACGTTTAGCATATTGTCAAAGCTGCTCTCTTCCATAGAGTGGAAGTAAAATTTGAGCTCCAAAAAGCACTATAGGTTGGGTAGGCGCAGTTGTAACAAGGTACAGTTTTAATACTGTGAATATTTGTCTTCTTCTACAAGTTCAAACTGCCATCACTGGCCCATTGGCATTAGAAATCTCTGCCTGTGTGTAAACATTGAAGCTCTTCGTCCACTTACCTGCATTGGGTTTGACAGACAAGGCTAAAGCCTAGTCCCAGACAAAAATGCATGTTTGAGCTGTTTTAAATGAAAGCAATTTGCATTGACATATTTTGAAATATGTCACTGCTATTGATTTGTCTCAGGATTCCAGTAAATGTCCTAATTGAACTAAATTCTAATCCTGGCTTAATCTAAACCAGGCCATAAAGCCACAAAAATACGCAACAGATATGCATCATTACAATTTGAAAACAATTAAAGTATGAATTTCAGGTTACTTCACCTATTAACTTGCTCCCGGAGGGTCACTATACTGCAGAGTTTAGCTCTAATCCTAATTAAACACACCTGAACCTAATCAATGTCTTCAGGATTACTAGTAACCTAGAATACATGGATCAGCCGTGGTCTCCACTTCATGGCTCTGGCCTGTCTTTCCTCTCCCTACTTCTATACATATCGTTCTCCCTCTTTTATTACCTTTTGTTATTCCTTGTGGCATCATGAGCCACCCTTAAAATGTGGGGATTATGTTTTGGGGTCTTTGTGTTTCATTTGAGCTTTTAGTTTGTCTGGTTTCTTTCTTTTTCCTATTGTTTGTGCTATATTTCAAATGTTCTGAAGCTTTAAACCTTTGATACATTTAAGGGAAAATCTTGCAATTTGGAATTTTTTCAATTGACTATTTTACATGTTGGGATGAAAGAAAGAATTACAAATTTAAAAGTGACTTAAGCAAGGACAAGTCAAGATGTGAAGATGCAGAACATGGTGTCCCATGAGAAGCATTAACAGTCTCTAAATTAGAGTGACACATTAAATGACATTGAATCATCCAAAATTACCATGAACTTATTTTCTTCTCTTCATAGAGAACAACCTTGAACAGTTATAGCATCTGACAGGAGTCTCATTCATCTTTTAATCTGATACGGTACAAGGTTAATTTTTGAAGCTATTTATTCTCCACACAAAATTGCACTCTGGGGATTTTCCAGTGCTGGAGAAAGAGGAAGTGGTGTAAGGATGTCCACTCAAGCCAATATTCCAGCTGTGGCAAATTGTTACTAAAAGTTTGACTCTAAAGCCTGTGTTTTGTGACGGGAATATCATGGGTGTCACACTGTGAATGTTATTTTAGTGGTTTATTGCCAGTAGGCTTAATGAATCTTAGTACTTTTGGTATATATGCCAGAGTCTCATTATAATCTTCTGAAAAATGAAGTAGCCTGGTGAAAATGTAAGCAATATTTGCACATTGCTTTTTACAATACATGTAGTACAGGGAAGGTGCTTTAAAAAAAAACAGTCAGCAAGCCAAAGCCGATATCGGAATGTGAAAAAAACCGAGTCGATACAATTAATCAACCTATTTACATTAAATAATTCTGTAATTCTACTTAGCCTGATAGTCTTACAGTATTTGGAATAGTAATTTCTCTTATTAAAGGTTATCAGATTTAGCAAGAATATATTAAGAACAAAAAAATATCAATTTCAGTGATCCATAGAGTGTGCCAGAGGAAACTACATGGCTTGGATACACAATGCCCGCATAGTATGAATTTTGCATGATGGAATGAGAACACTGCATGGGCCCTGATTATATTCCGGGCATGCTGTGGATGAATACAAATCAAAATGTATCAGCAATCATCCTACACAAAAACACAATCCATGAATGCAAAGTGTGCTTTCTAGATGTGATATAAACACCGGTGCATATTTGTGACAGGAGACACAGGGCTATGTTAACAGTATCACTTCCAGCACCCCCTCAAGGTACCCGCCCGTGTTCATTGATAGCTACACCACAGCATGATGATTCACTGTGTGTGTGTGTGTGTGTGTGTGTGTGCAGGGTATGGAAGGTATTGACACATCACATGGGGGTGGTGTACTGCTGACAGTGAGAACTGATTCACAGTTCCCTTAAAGCAAAGCAATTATGTGGGTCAAAGGGAGGAAATTGTTCTAAGGGTATAGGCAGTTTTGCAAAAAGACAGATGATGGCAATAATGTGTAATAATACAGCAATAATCTGCCAAGAATACCCATAGTGAAGCTTCACTATTTGAAAGTCATTAGAAAATAGTTAGAGTGAGGTTTCATTAATTTGAACGAGAAAAAAAAAATACATAGACTGTATAATGCTAACATGCTGTTGGTTCTTTTCCTTTGTAATTGATCTAACACTTAAAAAAAATATGTTTCATGAGTGTGTTCTAATTTAGTTAGGTTTATTCAGTCATCTTTAATAGCCTAATAATTTTTAACATTTTTCATTTTTTATATATATATATAGTAGAATTTACCACATGAAGCATGTTTAAACTTAAATGGGGAGTGACAAATGAACCAGTGGCCTAGCTATCTTTTTTTTGCAGTGACTTTAACCAAATAGTGTCCGGGTGATTTTTAGTGGATGTATGAAGCATTTTTGGTGAAGCACTACCACCGGAGTAAGCAAGTTCAACACATTAACTCATTACCTGCTATGAACATGATTCACTAGCCATACTGTTTGTCCATCAGAAAGTGTCACAAATACAGTGTGCCTTCATTTAAAACAATATATTTGTTCTCAACCTCTTTATTAGAAAAGTGTGCTAAGTGTCACATGGTCTGATATTTGCCTGATGCAATAGTTGCTTATTTTTCAGTGTATTTTAGGTGTCCGAAAAAATGTTGAGGGGTAACTGTAGACAGTATTTTGTTCTGGAACTGGGTTTGTATCGTAGGCTACTTAGTGTTCATTCATTGGATCCTCTGGGCATTTCAACACGCGCTTGTGTTGAGATCAGTCAACTCCGCCTCCTACCTGCAGTTACTCACAGTTACTGCTGGATCTGAGCGCGCGGCACCCGGCATTCGCGCTCTTTTGCTGACAACACGTACTTAATGTAACTATTTAAAACTGCCAATTAAAGTGAGATATAAGACTAGATATTTGGCCAGTACCAGAGAGACCATCACGTTTTATTTAGTCAAGTAAAATTCTTTAGCATCGTCAATAGAGAGAACACTGAACGAACTGGCATAAACGAGTATGGACAGTTCCACACTGAGCGGGGAAAATATGCTAAACACCAAGAAGTTGTGGATATAAACGCACAGAAGAACAGAGCTCATTCCTAAAATCCTATGGCTTGAAGGTGAGGTGCATGTTTTACACAAAACTATTGGATTTATTTACTCTTTGATTGAAATGATCAGTACATGAATTACCTTTTTAGGAAAGTGTTTGTCACTGCTTCTCAGTGTGTACACATTAGGTGGTATTGACTAACGTTTGGCTGTAATAGGCTACTTAAAAATGTTTATAACATTTTTTTTCTCATTACTTCAGTAATTGAAGTAACGCGCGAGTGCACTAATGTCACATTTACGGGGAATAAAACAGCTGTGGTTGCCAGAAATTCAGGTATTAATGGATTGCATTTGCTGCCTGTATATTTAACAGTTCATAAACCATATATAACGTTTATTGAAATAGTAATATACCAACCTGCTCGAACTACTAAAATCTGTCTTAAAATATAGCCTACTACCGCTAAAAATATTATATATTATATTTATTATACACCATATATTATGCCATAATAAATATAGGTTAACTAAACCTCATAAAATGTAACTTAAACAAACAAATGAACATAAAAACAACATGTATTATATATACATATTATTAAAATTGTTAAAATGATTTTGCATTTTCACTTAAAAAACTATAACAATGCTTCAAAACTAGGCTATATTGCCCTTTTGAATGTAGTAGCCTATATATTTTCCACAGGAATTTATATGGCTATTCATACTTTTTACTTCCAAAACCACAATACTTTGTATGTGTATTTTGTAGTAAAATTCCATTTATTGTCTGTTAAATCAACAATTCTGTATCTTAAAGTAACTTATTAACAGGTTTTAATTTTAGCATTTTTAATAGTTTTTCTATTACAATTATGAACATTTTTCAAACAGTATATGTTGCACGTATTGAGTAAATAGATGTTTGAGTAAACACAGATTAAACATTGTTTAATAAACAGTCAAGTGAAGAGCACCTTATGTGAACCCTCAACATTTTCCCAAGAGGTTTTCCAGAAGGAAAAAGACACATTCGGAAGTCTGCTGTTTATTGATTTACAATTACATTATCACTTCTTGTTAATTAACGTTATACTGTAGATTACCCACAAACATATTCTGAGATCTACCGAGCTGCCTAACCTTAGACAGTTGGCAAAGTGAGCCAATTGGCTGCCAAGAATAATCTGTGCTAAATCACTTACATTCAGTCAGTATGGTGGTGTTCATATGTTCATGGAGTGCTGGTTTGTGTACAGATCATAGTAGTATTCTGTAGTACCTGCTGGTTTTAATATTCATCTCTGCAAGTGTGGAATGTGTGAAATTGGCTCAGTTTGACATAAGGGTAGAAAATATGATGAATGGAATGGTCTGTCTCCACTACAAAATTGATCTCTCAGTTAGAATGACCATGTAGCCTATTGAAAAATTCAAAGAATGCCATTAAGCATAAAGCACATGAAATACTTTCATAAGAAAAAATGAAAGTGACTGAAAATTTCTGTGGAAGACTTTCTTCCCTTGGGGCTTCTTGCGTGAAGAGGCGTGGCCCTGAGAGCATTTTCTTGACATTTCCATGGAGGAAGAGGAAGACACCACAGACTGCCCTTTTGTTATTTAACAGAGCCTGTTTTTAGGAGCTTGTAGAACAGGGGGCAGTGTTTCACAAGAACTTTCAACAAGAAAATTGTAAACCATTGAGAACAAGAAAAATAGGTAATGAACCTTATTACCGGTAATCTGTGATAGTTAAATTGATCAAAAATCTTCCTGGTGTTGATGCAAGTTTCAGCTAGAATTAAAGATATAGCAACAAATACCAGAGGCGGTTGACCATTCTGTATATCTCCATTTCAGATGCTGGGCCCTGACTGCAACATTTAGTAATTGCTTTTTGTGCACAGACTAAAAATACACCCATGGATTTCTCTGATTTTATGAGAGGCAAAATAAAAGTATCTGATTTGATGATCTTTCTTTGGAAGTGCAGCACATTATGGTCTAAATATATTTGGTAGCAGATGGTGGGATAGACATTATTAATGCTGTAAACAAGGTGTCCCTGAAATTGGTGTCTCGGAAATGTCACCACTGTGGCATTTAATGTGTTTAATGGTTACAACAGTGCAACTCACAATAGGTTGCTATTTAAGCACTATTATGAAAGTGTAACAAATGTCACAGTGGGCAAGACCATGCCCTTATACCTCTATGTAATCCAGAACATGACATCTAACTCGTAGGAAGACCAAATTTAATGTATTCATTTTTGACTCAGACAAAATCTTTCATGACATTTCTAGCTTTGTTTACCTTACTGCCCACTATGTGATTCTGCTTAATTTAGAAGACAGGGCAGAGACATAAGGGGCTTTAGACCATGACTAATGTTATGGATCATAACCATAGGCAAACTTAAATAAATACTGTCTCTAAAATGTGCATGCTTCAGCAAGTGCAGGCCCAGCTGGGAAGTCGTTCAGACATTTTTACAACTATTAAACCCAAAACTATGATGCACATTTCTGGAAGAAACTTCTCCAGATTTCATGTCTAGGATGTTCAGCTCTAAAGTTACATTGGAAGAAATTTTGAATACAGAATACAGAATGGTAAAAATGGTAAAATGGACTGCATTTATATAGCATTTAAGAATAAAGAATTATTATTATTATTATTTTAATCAAAACTTAATAATTGTTATGATAATTGAATTGCTTATTAATAATAAAATTGTCACTATTCACTTAAATCAAATACAACGCTTTTAAACACGTCAATGCAGATTTTACATCAGTGACATTTGACAAGTCCGTGGCACAGGCAGAGCGACGACTGACCAAGGCGAAGCTGGAGGGACGAGGGAGCCTGGTGGAGGCGTAAGGACGATGGTCCCAGGTTGAGCCGAGGGAGGCAGAAGCCAAGGTCATGCCGACTGGTCGACGAGCCGAGGTGGAGCTGGAGTCTGGAAGAACCTAGGCAGATCCATGCAGCAAAGTGGAGTTAGAGGAGGAGCCAAGGGACTGAAGGGAACCAGTGGAGGCGGGCCCAAGGAACTGGCTGTCATTGGTAGAGGAGGTGGAAGAGGGAGGCTGGGCGGGATCATTGGAGAAGCAGGAGACTTGGAGCTGGGCAGAACCAGTGAAAACAGGGAAGACTTGGAGCTGGGCAGGACCAGCGGATACACAGTTGACTTGGAACTGGGTGGAACCAGCAGAGACCAGGAACCAGGAGACTACAGGAATAATCCTCTTCCAAATCCTCATCAAAAATGACAAAGGCCAGCTTCAGCTCACCCTCAGTGGCGGGAGTGTGGGCGGGGCTTCTGCTAGCACACCCACTGGTACTGACGATGTTGCCGGCTTTCACACCTGGTCAGACTCTTGTTTGTGCCCTGGCTCCAGGGCGATGATCATCTAAAGGTGATGATACACAGGGCAACTTTTTGACCAATGTTGCCGGGCAATGTTGCCGTCAATGGTCAACCAGATGACACACAGGGCCCACGACCGATCTAAATTATCCAGATAGAAATGTATTGCCCATTTTCAATGGGAAAGTGCCCAAGCAACAATCGCTCGGCAAGATTGCCCAGCAACATTGCTCAAAAAGTTGCCCTGTGTATCATCACCTTAAGTCTTTGTTTCTAGCGCTGGCATTGTGGCAGTCTCAGGCTCCGCGTGTCATGCTGAAGTGATAACAGGAAGCAAACGCGAGTTAACAGTTTTTAATGAGCACACACAAAGTCCAGGAAACAGTAAGCCAGATGGTGAATGGTGACGCAGGGACTTCGATGGTCAAATCCGGTGAAGTGAAGACAGACGGTGAGACGAACCAAATCCACATGGAAGACGACGAACAGGAACACCAGGCAGGAACACGAACCAGAAGACCAGACAAGGAAACATCAAACAACGATCTGACAAAGATGAGAGAACAGCGGTGAGTTTATGAAGCGTGGTGAGATGAACTGCAGCTGGTGATGTAATGATGAACAGCTGGAGCGGATCAGGTAATGACATACAGACATGCCCTTTGCACACGTGCACTCATACAACAACATAAACACAAGACAAGAAGGAACCAGCGAATACGTCTACCGTGACAGTACCCCTCCTCCTAAGAACGCCTCCTGGCGTTCTCAGACTCCCTTACCTGCCGATTGTAATCATCGATAAGGGAGTGATCCAGGATGTCTCTAGCAGGAACCCAACTTCTCTCCTCCGGACCGTAACCTTCCCAGTCCACCAAGTACTGAAATCCGCGTCCCCTCCGCCTAGAGTCCAGAATACGGTTGACCGAATATGTGGTCTCCCCATCTACGAGCCGCGGTGGGGGAGGAACCGGGACTGGCGGATTAATGTGAGAATGAAAAACGGGTTTAATCTTAGATACATGGAACACGGAATGAACCCTCCTGTACGCAGGAGGTAATTTGAGGCGGACTGCCACCGGACTAATAATCTTGGTGACAGGAAACGGGCCAATAAATTTGGGTGCAAGTTTATTAGAAGAGGAATGTTCTTAGTTGAAAGCCACACTTTTTGACCAACGACGTATACGGGAGGCCTTGACCTGTGGCGATCGGCCTTGGCCTTGGTGCGCGCCCCCACCTGGAGTAGAGTCTCCCGGGCTCTAGTCCAGGTGCGGTGACACCTCTGGACAAAGGCGTGAGCGGAGGGAACCGCAACCTCGGATTCCAGACTGGGAAAAATAGGTGGCTGGTAACCTACACTACACTCGAACGGAGATAGGCCCATCGCTGACACTGGCAACGTGTTGTGTGCGTACTCCACCATAGACAGTTGTTGGCTCCAAGAAGAAGGATTCCTGGAAACCAAACATCGCAACATTCTCTCCAGATCTTGGTTGGCTCTCTCCGTTTGACCATTGCTCTGGGGGTGAAACCCAGAAGACAGACTAACCGTCGCCCCCAGTAATTTACAAAATTCTCGCCAAAATTTGGACACAAACTGGGGTCCCCTGTCGGAAACCACGTCTATCGGGAGGCCATGTAACCGAAAGACATGATCTATGATCGTTGCCGCTGTCTCCTTAGCTG